GGGAAGGGAGAGGAGGGGGAGGACATGAGGAACTCCATGGGGTAAGAGTCTCAGGATGTGAGGACCTACTGGATTGTGGGGGCTCAGGGAGAGGAAAGAACCACTCAGGAATGACTAAAAATCACACTCAGATGCGTGGGAGAATGCTGGTACCCACAGCCAAGGAGGGAAGTTGGAAAAAGGGGCTGGTTTGAGGACTAGCACTAAAGACTGATGGAAAAGACACACAACACCATTAGGTACTGGGTCAGTCAGGTCCCTAGCAGGAAAAAGAAGCTACTATGATGGTTTCAAAGCAGACACCTGAAGGAAAGAAGGATGTCCAGAGCTGTGGGCAGGCTTGTGGGACCAACCTGGAATAATGAGGTGTCCAGAGATTAATCCCAGCAGGAAGCTCTTCCTCTCAGATTCTCTGGGCCCCAAGTCAGTAGGGCACCAGTTCCCAACTCTTCTTCTACCTCCCATCTCTGAAACAAGTACATGACCACTCTTTGGTTTGTCATCGTGACTTCTACTGCTGCTAGTATTTCTACCCTCACCATCACCATAGGCAAATGGCTAAATGGCTATTGAACCTTTACCCTGTGCCATGGGCTTTTACATACATGATCTCATTTAATTATATTTACCCGCTGAGTTGGTTCTATTATTATTCTAACTTCATAGAGAGAGAAAAATGGAAACTGAGGGACATTTTTAAATTTTTTATCTTTATTGTTGAATGTATTACAGATTTTCCTCATTTATCCCCCATTGACCCCTCCTCCCCATTCCCGCCCCCCTCCTGCCTTTTCCCACACTGTTGTCTGTGTTCATTAGTTATGCATATAAGTTCTTTGGCTTATTGCCCCCCCCAACCCCCTTCTCTTTGAGGTTTGTCAGTCTAGCAACCAATTTGTTCCTTTTAATCCCTTCACCTTTTTCACCCATTCCCCCAAACCCCCGCCCATCTGGCAACCAACAAAATGTTCTCTGTATCTATAAGAATGTTTCTGTTCTGCCTGTTCATTTTGTTTGTAGATTTTATCGTCTATAGATATGTATTCATTGCCATTTTGTTTGTTCATATATTTTATCTTTATCTTCAAAGAGACCCTTCAACATTTTATATAATAATGGTTTGGTGGTGATGAACTCCTTTAACTTTTTCTTGTCTGGGAAACTCTTTATAGGCCATCGGTTCTAAATGACAGCTTTGCAGGATAGAGTAATCTTGGTTGTAGGTTCTTGCTTTTCATCACTCTGAATATTTCTTGCCACTCCCTCTGGCCTGCAAAGTTTCTTTTGAGAAATCAGCTGACAGTCTTATGGGAACTCCCGTGTAGGTAACTAACTGCTTTTCTCTTGCTGCTTTTAAGATTCTGTCTTTATCTTGAACCTTTTGCATTTTGATGATGTTGTGTCTTGGTGTGGGCCTCTTGGGGTTCATCTTGTTTGGGACTCTCTGTGATTCCTGGACTTGTATGTTTGTTTCTTTCACCAAGTTAGGGAAGTTTACTGCCATTATTGTTTCAAATAGGTTTTCGATTTCTTGTTCTCTCTCTTCTCCTTCTGGCACCCCCAAGAGGTGAATGTTGGCACACTTGAAGTTGTCCCAGAGACTCCTTACACTATCCTCATTTTCTTGTATTCTTTTTTGCTTTTTGTTGTTCTGATTGGGTGTTTTTTGCACCCTTAGATTCCAAATTGATGGTTTGCTTCTTGGCTTTCCCTACTCTATTATTGAATCTGTGTAAATTATTCTTTATTTCAGTTAGTGCCTCCTTCATTTCTGACTGTGCATCCTTCATTTTTGACTGCTCCTTTTTTATGCTCTTGAGGCCCTCACTAAGTTCACTGAGGTTCTCACTAAGTTCATTGAGCGTTCTTATAAGCAGTATTTTGAACTCAGCATCTGTTAGGTTGCTTATCTCCATTTCGCTTAGTTCTTTTCTTGGTGTTTTGTTCTGTTCTTTCATTTGGGACCTGTTTCTTTGTCTCCTCGTTTTGGCTGCCTCCCTGTGTTTATTTCTATGTATTACTGAATGAGAGGTATGGGGCTCTCTGAGACCAGATGCTGCTTGTTTAAAAGAATTTAGGAAAACCTGAAGCAGGATCCAAGACAGGCCAATCCTATGGTTAAGAAACTGGCAACAGCTTGGGTGGGCCTGAAAGTTGGGTGGGGCGAGGCCTCAGGGAATCACCAGGGCGGGGCTACCAGTGTGACTCAGGTTGCTGGAGTCCCAGATATGGTGACTGTCTGCTGCCCCAGGGAAGAGCTCACCAAAGGAACAAAGGCCTCTGACAGCACCTTTGTCCCAGAGAAAGCCCTCTCTTCAGCCCTAGCTCTAGTGCCAAACAGCTCAGTTCTTCCCTGTATGTCTCTGGCACTTCTTGAGCTGCCTCCCCTCCAAGCTTAGAGGGAGTGAGTCTGATAAGTCCGTGCACGGGCCCTTTAAGGAGCTGCCTGGGGCTCCAGCCGCCTCAGCCTCCCTGAGCTTCAGTTCCCGCTGGTTTTTCCAGCCAGAAGTTACGGGGATTCTCTTCCTGGCACTGGAATCCTGAGCAGGGTGCCTGGTGTGGGACAGGGACCCCTCAGTCCTCAGAGAGGACCTTCCCAGCCGAGGTATCCTCCTGATTTTTATCCACCACACGTGGATGTGGGACCAGCCTGAAACTGAGGGACATTTAACAAGTTGGCCGAGTTCACACAGTTAGTAAATGGCAACGTTGGAATATGAAGCCAGGCAGTCTGATTTCTTGACCACCATAATCACTGCTTTGTACTGATAACTCCTACGAAATAGAAGATAACAAAGGTAGCAAATGGTGGTGGGGGACAGTTAACCCCAGCAGGATTTAGAGTAAGTCTCTTGTGATGTCACATTTGCAAGACTGTCCACAGGCCCTGGATGGAAACATTCAACACAGGTGGAGGACTGGTCAGTCTTATTTCAGAGATAAAATGACCAGAATGTGAATGGGGCAGATCACCCTTCCAGGCCCTGACTTCACACCCACCGGAGCACAACAGAAATTTGAAGGATGGGAGGAGCTTCTCTTGTCCTCTTGGGTTTCTCCTTCCTTTCCTTTTCTGTCTCTCTCGTGCCCAGCTCAGGAAGCAGGAGAAAAATAACCAAAGTCAAGAAGGCAGATGACATTTCCCCATACTTTAACCAAAAGAGTGAAAATAAGCAACTCATAGCTTATCAAAAACCAAAGTCAGGCTGTCCTGTCGGGCAAGTGGTGTCCACAGTGGAGACGGGTGTGGCCATCACACCAGTGTGTTAGTCTCAGCGTTCTTTGCTTCATGCGGGTTCCCACCATTTGACCTATCAGAAGCATTTACTCCTAAGGGTGAACATTCAGTGTGGGTCTCAGGGCCAGGTGTCCCACTTCAGATCACTGTCTAAAAGAAATGGTGTTGAGCTACTAGGAAAACAAGTCAGGCCTGCCTCTGCCTGTCCACTGAACCTTTAGGTTCCAGCAAACCTGTCTCTCAGATGCTATTGATCCCTATAAACTGGGTTTTCGTCTTCCCACTTCAGAGGTCTGAAGTAATTATGCCCTGGAAACAGATCTCAGCTTCAAAGTGCTCTTCTCTGCCTGGGTACTCGGGGTCTGAAGGACTACATTGTGCTTCGGTAAATTCTCTCCAGCTAGGAGCTCAAGATCAAGAATAGTTAAAACTGGAGACAAGAGGCTGGTAGGACACTTGCTGAGATATCCCTGAGAGGTCATTTCCCCATCTTAAGCCTTTTTTGTAATTGGGATTTCATGCCCTTTCTCTGCCGAAGCCTTCAGACTCCAGCAAGTATTTGCCTTTCAAGTGGGCTCTTCCTTCGCTCTGTCGGGTTGGCCACGGGCTAATCTGACCTTGTTTAGCCCAGACTGGCCCGAGTTGGAGCTGTGGCTCTGCTCACCGTTTATTTCTCTCTTGCAGAGCTGGTGAACGCTTTGTGCACTGGCCCTGAGTAAGGATTTTCTGTCATCGTTGTTGTTTTAGAACACAACCTGTTTATTTCTTCTTGAGACATAAAGCTTCCGTTTGGATGGTGAGGAGGAACCAAGTACTAAAGACAATGGCTAAGCCCTGGCCGGTTTGGCTCAGCGGTTAGAGCGTCAGCCTGCGGTCTGGAGAGACCCGGGTTCGGTTCCCGCTAAGGGCATGTACCTCGGTTGCAGTTTGTCCCCGGCCCTGGTTGGTTGTGTGGGTGGCAGCCACTCGATGTGTCCCTTTCACATCGATGTTTCTCTCTCTCTCTCTGTTCCTCTCCCTCCCACTCTACCTGAACAAAAAATGGAAAAATGTCCTCAGGTGAGGATAAAAAAAAAAAGACAACGGCTAACTCTTCCATTCGTTCCAGTGAACTCCAGTGGAGGAAGAGGAAATAAGGTCTAGACTGTTTTGGTCCACTAACATTCGGTGGATCACACCCGCAGCAGGGCCCTCTCTCAGAGGGCGGCTGCAGTGAGGTGGGTGTGACAGTCGCGGAAGGAGGAGACGGCAGCCACGGAGGATCCATCAGGCGCCTGCAGTGTGGTCCGTGGTCCCCCGGCTCTCTGAGACTCTGTATGGGTCAGAGCTGGCTCAGCGGCCTCATGGTGCCTCCTCTGCTCACTGTTCCTGAGGGAGAGTAGGTTCAGGTCGCCTGGGAGCTGGTGGGGCCACTCCCGGGCAGCTTGCTGAGCTAAGCAGTACTTCTGGGCGTGGGCCTCTCAAGTTAACCGAGGTCCTAGGTACCCGGACAGTGCCAGGCCCATTTTCCACTGCTCACACTGATACCGTGGGGGGGCTCTTCAGGTAACTTTAATGCATGTGTGGCTATCACAACACCAAGATTTTGTTTTCAACCTTTTAATTATTTTATTATTCATTATTTCTTTTTTTATTGTTGACTCTATTACAGATTTTTGAGAAAATGGCAGGCAACTATTTTTGGGTCTGGCTCCCATTGACATTGTTCTTCATCCCCACCTCCAGGTGACAGCTTCTGAGAAAGTTCACTGTTGCCTCACCTGCCTTGGTCTGATCTTTTGTAATTTTACTTCTGGTCTTAGCAATTTCTCCTCTTCTAACAGCTTCTTGTTTTCAGGGGACACCTATACAGCCAGTGCTTGAGGAAGGAGTCCATATAGGACCCACAGATTTCTTCACTGAAACCAGGTCACCCCAGACTCCAAGCTCCTCTGCCGACAGCGTGCGTGCGGATGAGCTCCAGGCTGTCTTTGGGCCAGGGCTCCGTGTCCTCCACCAGCCTGAAGACACGGTGTCGCCGGTGCAGGCGTGGCTTCTGGTGCTCACCGGCCAGCGGCACCTTCCACCAGCACTCCACAGTGACTGATGACCCTGCCCTAGCAGCCAAAGAGCAAGGGTGAGCCTGGCCTTAAAAAAGTTTTCCGGAATCTCCCTGTTCTGTTTGTTTGTTATGTTGCAAGAATGTTACTCAACAGCCTCCACACCCCAGTGACTCAGCCTGGCTTTATTTATTTATTTTTTTTCATTCTTGGCTTTATTGTTTTATTTTTTTGTTACTGGGTTTTTATTAATGTATTTTTGTTACAGATGTTTCTCTTTTTTCCCCATTGACACCCTCCTCCTGATCCCCTAGCCCCATCCCTAGGTTTGTTGTCTATGTCCATGGTTACGCATGTTTGCATGTAAGTTCTGTGGTTTATCGCTTCCCTCCCCAGTGATCCTCTCTTCTGAGGTTTGTCTGTCTGTACCCTACTTCTATGTCTCTGGGTCTATTTTGTTCATCACTTTGTTTTGTTCCTTATATTCCACAAATAAGTGAGATCATGTGACATTTGTCTTTCTCTGCTTGCCAGCCTGGCTTTAATGAGTTGTGTTTTCCAGGCCTTCCTGGAGCAGCACCTCTTCTAATGTTGTCCAGGTGCTGCTAGGCCAGGGCACTGTCTTGCTCGAGCCAGGATGAGAGTCAGAAATGCTCCCCACAGGCAGGCAGAGGAAAAGACGAGGTGAATTCCGGGTTGTTCCACTCCCCACCAGTGCAGTCACTCAGCCCTGCCCAGGCCCAGCCTAGGCGGTGTAAGCTAAATGCCAGGAAGCACTTACACAGTGGGGTCTGACAAAGCGATTTCTCTTACTCTGAGAAAAAGACAGTTACTAAGGGTTGCGTGAAGAAGACTGTTTTACTTTTAATTCATTGGTCTTTGATTTGTGGAGTATTCAATTTGCTGGTGGAGGGGGGATGATCTGACTATTTAACTTCTGGGGGCAAGCTGGAGAAAATCATATAATTAGCAATTCAGAGATTTTCAGAATCTCTGGCCACATAACAAGGTGGCACAGGAAAAGAGATCACTATGCACTAGAGCTGTGGCAAAAGGCCAGGCACTGGATGACGATCACCCATGAGACAGTAATGACTTAAAATTATGTTTGCTTATAAATGTATGCTTCTGTTTAGAAAAACATTGCTTAGGGAAACAGTATATATATATATTTTACATTTTTATTTATTGATTTGAGAGAGAGAGAGAGAGAGAGAGAGAGAGAGAGATTTGTTGTTCCACTTATTTATGCATTCATTGGTTGATTCTTGCATGTGCCCTGGCTGAGGATTGAACCTTCAACCTTGGCGTTTGGGGACAGTGCTCTAGCCAACTGAGCTAGTTGGCCGGGGCCTAGAAAATGGCATTTTTAATTGTACTCCTAGTAAATGGGAAGACTTTGATTTTGCCTTAAACTCTTTTAACCTTAAACTCTTTGACCGGATTTTAAAAATCAGCCCTCCTTACAAAAATGCAAACACATTTCTGTTTCTTGATGGGCTGTAACAAAAGCAGAAGACTTACCCAATGATGAGTTTTATGAGAAGAGATGCAGTCTGAGCACAATTCACACGTTTACCAGTGACTCTCCTCTGCGTGCCGCACGGTGTCTAGGAACCATCTGCCAAAAGCTGCTGTGTGTGAGGCCTCGCTGCTGTCAGGACGGGACCGGCGCTGTCAGGAAATGCACGCCGGTTTGTGGTCTGTTCACAGACAGAATGTTGATGATACAGGTGTCAGCCAACTAAACCTACCCCACAGGGTGACTGCCTACCCCTCCTGCAGGCTCTGCAATGGCCACTCTGGGCTGGCTCTGGCCCCAACAGGAAGCATAGGCCTACTGGCTTCGGTGAGCCCGGTGTTTACGTTGCCTAGCTCCTGACCACAGATGTTTTAGGACAGATCTTTTTATTTTGATATACTTCCCATTTTACAGGAAAATGACAAGAATAGTACAAACTTTGATCCATTTGTTTGCATGTCTGCCTTATGTGCTCTATCACCCCCGCCATCACCACCGTTTAACAGTGAGTTGATGTGGTGCCCCCTTACCGCTAAGTACTCCAGTAAGCATTTTCTAAAAGCTCCTTGAGGGAGGTGACTGTACTCTTCCATAACCACAATGCAGTTCAAACAAACAGGAAATTAAGCATCAATATAATACTACTATCTACAGGGTGGGGCAAAAGTAGGTTTGCAGTTGTTCATATGGAAAATAATATAATCATTAAGAAATAATAATACAAGAATAAACTCTGTTTTGTGTACTCACAACCATAAACCTACTTTTGCCCCACCCTGTATTAGCACAGAAGTAGATAAATATAGAGATAGATATATATCAGAAGTGTGTGTGTGTGTGTGTGTGTGTGTGTATTTGGAGAGAGAAATGTTAAGATTAGATATAGATATAGAATTATACTGATAACTCCAACTCCATTACAAAAACACCCCTTCTGCAATTGTAACTTCTTTTCCCAACAGTGAGGAATCTAGCTTCCATTAGCCTCAAACTCAATAATACACAGATTGTAGTTTCAGAATTGCTAATCCATAGCATTGCTCAAAGTAAACCCAATGAGCCCTGGCCAGTTTGGCTCAGCGGTTGGAGCATCGGCCTGCGGACCAGAGAGTCTCGGGTTCGATTCCCGCTAAGGGCATGTACCACGGTTGCAGTTTGTCCCCGGCCCCGGATGGGGTCGTGTGGGTGGCAACCCCTCGATGTGTCTCTCTCACATGATGTTTCTCTCTCCCTCCCACTCTATCTGAAGATAAAGACAAAAATGTCCTCAGGTGAGGATTAAAAAAAAAAAAAAAAAAGTAAACCCAATGAGAGTTCAATTTGTTTACAATTTTTAAGGTAAAATTTACAAACATTGAAATGCACATATTCTAAGTATACGATTCAATGACTTTTGACAAATGGATACACCATCTTCTTTCAAGATATGGGATACTCACCTTGTAACCAAAATCTAGGTCCAGTTGTCTGTTGCCACAAAAACCAAACTCATGAGACAAGTGCTGGCGCAGAAACGAAAGGCTTATTCAGATGTCAGCCTCCTGAGGAGATGGGCTCTCTTGTCCAAAGCCCATCTCAGCGTCTCAGTGCAGGCAGGGGCTTTCATAAGGAGGAGAGGGAACGCAGGACAAAGATCAAGGGGCTCTCTGAAAAGTTCTCTACCTGTAGGCCAGCAGAGTCCATTCTGATAAAGACCTTGAAACTGGTCAAGTGATAGTGATGGTCTGGTGTGTGTCATCCTGGTTCTACAGTGGAAGGTCAGCAAATCCCCTGGGACTAGGATAACTGAAGGTTGGAGTCTGTATCTTCTGAAGTTAGCTCCTAGTATTCTTTTTTTTTTTTGGTGGTACGTGCCCCTAGTGGGAACCGATCCTGGGACTCTCTGGTCCGCAGGCCGACGCTCAACCACTGAGCCATCCTGGCCAGGGCTGCTCCTAGGATTCTTATACAAACAAGCTTTTTATCTACAAGCTACATATTAGTCAGAGTCGGCATTTACAGAAACAATGTCAGATTGGTGGAGTGGGTTACAATTCCCACTGTTATCATCTCTGTATCTTCTCAGAAAGTTCCCTTCTGTCTTCCCAGTCAGCCCCCCACCACCAGAAGCGATGGATATTTTGCTTAGTCTGTAGTCCAAATGAACTCTCCTGGTTTTGAACTCCCATTTCCATCCTGTGCCCCACTCTGTGCTCTCCCCACTATGAAGCTTGTGCCCCTCGCTGTCTGGCCTGAGGTTGTGCTTTCTCTGTTCTCCTTCATTTCCCAATTTTGATTTCCAGTCTGGCCCCTAGTCCTTCCCCACCCCGTGTCAGCAAGTTCTCCCCTCCTCCAGGCTAGATGTCCATTAGCCCACATTCCTCATTCCTCCTGGGCCCTGAAGGGTCTCTGGCCTCAAAAGTGCCCCAGGATAACATGATTTACTAACGGCAGTTTCATAAAAAGGCACATTTCCTCAAGACGTGGCAACATCACCGTGTCTGGCCCTGCACGATGCCTGGATCCTGACCCTCGTCCGTTCCTGTTACTAAATCTTGCTGTCTTACTCCAGCAGGGTGACCGTCACACTCCTCCCTCTCCAGTGACAGCCGGAGCCAGCAGCTCATGAGGCTTTTGTCATGAGGATGTCTTGTGAACATGACTATGATAAACAGAAACCACGAATCTTGTGGGTGTTCATTCGACGTGAAACCTGAACTCAGTTTGCCACCAAGATGTGGCCAGTGGCCAGAGTGGGGAGCACAGGCAGAGAAGGTGGGTGGGCCCTTATGCACCCTATAAATAAACGCTTCATGAATAACTCCCTTTCAGTAATGCTCAGTCTAGCCAGAGCTATAGGGTGTAAGGCAAAAACTAAGGTGAGGCCTCAGAACCAGGAAGTCACACCCACATTAATATTCGGAAAACAGTGGGGGTATAATAGTTTGTTTTCCAGGCTTCCTGATGAAAAGGATCAGTGTAGTTCAATCACGAGAGAGCGTCTGAAAGGCTCTTCGACATGCAGGCGTTTAGTCCCACTCTTCATGTGGGCCCTGGATTATATTAGCCGTGTAATAAGCCCTGGCTTGTCCCATCTGTCTTCGTGTGCTTGGACTCCCCCAGCGAGGTTAAAAGCTCCTTGAGGGGTGTGACAGTGTCGTGCATTTTTCTGTTTCCTCCTGTCTCAGCACTGGCTCCCTGTCAGGGGACAGGTGTCCAGTAGGCACTTCTGAATGGAATCGAGTCTTAGCACCTTGACAAAGTCTTCTTTCCGTTGTGTCCTACCCAGCTCCCCGTGTAGAACCGAGCACCGAGTAGGCACGCAAACTGGCTGAATAAATCATACACTAATTCCACCAAATTGTTGCTGAATCAAATTGTTACTCCTTTCAGGAGTCTGCTTCCTAGAAGAGGACAACAATAAATGGGTGATGCTTAATACCCTGGTGGAATTGACCCAGTAGTGGAGCTACAGGCAGCAGGGAGCCCGGTGGGGAGGACGTTTGTGAGCAGGGGGCTCTGCGGTGCCTCCCCAGTCACACCACATGTCACTCCCCCAAGGGTCTCAGAGTGTCCATACAGGGATCACTATGTTCTGCTAATAGACCCCTTTGGCTGTCTGCCTTTCCTGAGTTTTTCTCTCTCCTCTTAAATTTTCAGCCGTTTCCTTTGACCCAACAACAAATAGGCGGGAGCACCTTCTTGCCAAGAGCCCTGGAGGAAAGCGTCTCTTGCCAGAATTGCCTACTTGCCAGCCTTCCAAGCGTCTGTTTTTACCCTACTACCAAGACGGTGGAGATGGGCGCCTTTGGGCAGGCACCCAGGGGCTCTGCAGGGCTGGGTCCCCTCCTCCACCTGCATTCCAGGGTTTGGTTCCAACTTCGTAGTCTCCATTAGCTCAGGTGCGGCTGTGGGGACCTGCCTCTGAGACGCCCCCACTGCTGTCCCGAGCCGGCCACGCCCTCACTCTCACCTAGATTATTCCCACCACCTATTTCCTAATGAGTGCACCTGCCTCTGCTTGTGATTCGATGTCAAGGGGAATTTTATTATTGGCCCAATTGTGTTGCAAATAGTTCTGAACCAATTTATACTCATTCCAGAGTGAATGAAAATTTTTATTTCACTCAGCACTGGCTATCTGCTAACATCACAAAACCTTTTTTCTGTATTTCAATGTATAGGTCTATATTTGAGGTTTCTAGTTTTTGAACACTCCCCAGGCAATTCTAAGGTGGAATCTGGGTGGAGAACAGCAGTAAACTGGACTAAAAGTTGGCCGAGTGCGGTGGTCCCTTTTCTCAGCTTCTGGAGATCTAGTGCTCTAAGAATGAAGGCCCAGGAAAAGAACCCCCAAAGTGGGCACTAAGGGAAAGAACCTCAAGAGAGTGGGCACTAAGGCGGTTTCTTCCTAAGGCCTAGGGCCAAGCTGGCCCAAGCCACCCTCCCTGGGCTCTCTGAGGTTGGGGCCCTTCTCTGGCTGTCAGGGTAGGAAGTAACCCAGAGAGCCAAGAGCACATGGCCCCAAAGAGGGTGAACGAGGACAGGAAAGGATCGGTCCTGCACCATCAGGAGCTGGGAGTCTCTCCCCTAACTTGGAAGAGCCCACTTCCCAGCCCCAGTCCTGACTCACAGAAGCTTCTGGCTCTGCTGACCATGCCTCATCAAGCGTGCCTCCTCCATACTCCATCCCCATAGCCGCAGCTTTTAAAACTGCTTTGTAAATTACAAAAGAACTATTGGGAAATCATAAACAAAAACTACAGAAACACATCTGGTGAAAGTGAAAAGTGCCCTCTCATCTTCCTACTTCCATTCCCTTCCTCAGTGGCGACCCAACACGTGGATCCTTCACCTTTTTCTGTCTACTTACCAGAGCCAGTGTGTGTGAGACTGCGTGCGTGCACACAGGAATTGTAAAACCCATAAATGGAATCATGTGGTATATAGGTTTCTCCAACTTGCCTTTACCATTTACAGCGTAGACCATTTTGTGTTAGTTAATACAGACCTGCCTCATTCTTTTCACGGTATATGATATCATATAGTTGGATAATTTTGTTGCTGGATGCTTCAGTTGCTTCTCATTTTTTCCCTCTGTAACAACAAGGTTATAATGAATTCCTTTGTATATGTGTCTTTGTGCCACCTAACTGGCTTTGAGTATTGCCACTGCCGGAAAACTCCTGGTGTGGGGTTCCGACTATGCACACCCTCGGGTTTCTCTGCTACTTCCAGGACTTCTTTAGACCCTGAAGAACACCCCTTGACTTAGTCTTGGCCTCTGCTCTCACCTCATTGTTCTGCTGTGGTGGTCACAGCACACCTTGTGGCCCAGTGCCACCTTTCTGGTGACCACACCATAACGTGGAAAGGTGCGAAAAGTACAGCTAGTGTCCCTCTGACCGACTGGAGGAAAGAAAGGGGGTCAGCTCTTCCAAATGCAGTTCAGCTGCAGAAAGGGTGAGAGTGGGTGTCTATCAAAGTGGTTGTCAAGATTGTCTTTTGCCCCTGGGATGGAGCGTGGGACTGAAACGGCAGTGAATCACTGCCACAGGAGATAACGAGGAGCTGAAGTGATGGGAGAAGCTTTCCGAAGCAGCAGAGTGGGGTGTGTGTGTGTGTGTGTGTGTGTGTGTGTGTGTTTGGCCCTGAACCAAATGTCCTTGTCCCATGGATGGAGAGAGCCAAACTTTGACCTAACGTATCGTTGTACTTTTTGTCCTTTAAGATTTTCAAGTACCCTGGTCCTTCAAGAAGCAATAAGGGCTAATGAGAAGCAGGCTATCCTCTGGGAAACAGAAATCTGGTTCCGTTTATGACCTCGCCAGGGCCTGCCATGGAATTCTGAGCAGCGTCAGTGTGCTGCCCGTGCTGTCGGTGTCTCTCCTCTAGAGGTGCCTCTGGGATATAGGGGTTAGGTTTCTTGTTCCCCCTGCAAAGTAGTGCTAGTGTCATTGGCTCTTAAAAGTGGGACAGTCATTTGGATGAAATGTTTGCTGTGTTTGGCATACCCTGCTTGGATGGATGTTTTGTTCCTCCTTACTTTCTGGACACACAGAAAGAACATGTGTTTGTGGTATGGGAGGCAGGGGATGGACTTCCTGTGTGGTAGCCCTACTGAAATGCAGTCTTGTACACACAAATGCAAAGGCAGATGCTGACCTGCTCCCTCAACCCCTCAGAAACTCTTCAGGGAATGGTGGTGTTGTCACTGTCAGAGTAGAACAATAAACAAATCTGCTTTAATCAGGAATAAGCTACGTTTGGGCAGTTTAAGCAAAACTAAAGCTTGCTCATGGAAAAGTAATTTATTTAGACAAATCACGATTTTAAAACTTTTTATTGAAGTGGAACATGCATACAGAGAAGTGCATGCATCACACATGGAGATTGGTGAATCTGTGCAAAGTGAACACACCTATATACCCAGGTAACCACTGCCTGGTCAGGAAATAGAACATAAACAGCACCCTGCAGACCCCTCACCTCCTCCCAGTTACTAGTTCATTGAGGTATAACAGCCTGACTTTCAATATTTTACATTAATTATGCCTGCTCTTTTTTTTTTTTTTTTACAGTTTGAAATACTACTTATTTAGTTATCAATATGGATGGTCTATTATGGAACATTACAGATGTCTTTCAAAGCTCTAGTAAAATATAGTCCACTCTCCAGCCCAGGAGAAGACAGTAGACAAGACCATTCTCATAGCAAGTGTAGCATAAGCACTCACAGTCACAGTTCTTTTTTTGGATGTCAAAGGGAATAATCAGTGAAAGGGTTCTTTACCTCCACTGGGATTTAAACCTTCTTGAATTATAGCTGTTTCAGAGTCAAAAGCCCAACTTCGCTCACTCTAGAAATATACTCTAATTGTGCCTGTTCTTGAACTTCCTATATATTGGTGAAATTTACTCACATTTTGTGTACGCTTGTTCATTTATTCTCATTACTATATGGTATTCCATGATAGAAATATAGCACAGTTGCCTGGCCAGGGGGCTCAGTTATTTGGAGCAGTTGTCCCATAGCCCAAAAATGTTTTGGGTTCGATTCCTGGTCGGATGTGTACAGGAGGCTACCGATCAATGTTTCTCTCACATTGATGTTTCTATGCTAATGAGATTTGGGATGTTTTTGGCTATTTCAGATAATGCTGCTATGAACAATTTTGCACATCTCTTGGTGCTCACACGTAGACACTTCTGTGGCGGACATTCCTACAAGAGGAATGACCGGGTCACAGTGTTTGCATACATTCAGCTTTAGTGGACCTTGGAAACAGCAGTGAATGAGAGTTAGGAATGTATTTCTGACAGGTGACAAAGCACAGAGCTAAGAGCAGGCCCCAGGCCTCTGGTCCCCTCCCAGGCTTGGATTACAGGGCAGCCAGAGCAAACCAGCTGTCAATTGGAAATAATTAGTACCTGCTCCATCACTTGCGGTGGGATGGGAAAGCCCTCTGTAAAGTCTCAGCTGCTCCAACATAAGCTGTCATTAAAACGAGAGCAAAGGAGGGAGGTTTTTAATTATTAATGAGAACTAAAGAAAAACTATACTTATGTGAATTTCCATTTCAAATTAAGAATCCAGAGATTAGATTAGCTGCCCTGCTAGACAGAGTTGCAGTGCCAGCGGGGCCTGGAGTGTTATTCTCTCAAACCCAGACACAGTGAGCAGCCTCCAAGCCTGCCCTCTGGATCTCACTGGAAGACTGACTGCCTGGAGCCCCAGGGGTCCTCCCAGTTCTTTCAATCGCCAAGTGTCCCGGCTTCTTCCCTCCCGCCTCAGCCTGAGTTGGCCTGATCTGGAAAACTGGTTGGGCTGTGTCGGAGCAGGCCAGTTACAACACACCAGAAAACAAGGGGTACGATCACTTCACGTCTGCATTAATGAACCTAAAGTCTGAGTCTTGTCAATGAGGTGCTTTGGTCTTACCATGGAACGAAAAGCTCATAGGCACTTATTCTACCAAAATTGAAATCAGGGGCTGTAAAAAATAATTGAAAGTGTCAAAATCTCTTCCATCCTATTGGTTCCCATGCGGATTGTTACACAAGTAGAAGGCAGCGCCCTCTTCTGGCCAATGCGAGGCTGTAGCAAGGGAATTGCCAGCTCATGAGACTGGTTTCCACTTGGGAGCGGGCTCATCTTGAAATGAGTCTTGAGTATCGCGTGTTTGGGGATCCATCCTCTTCAAAAAAGAAAAATCTTGGGGGTGGGAAATGGGGCGAAATTGGGAGGAGGGTGTCTGGGGACAAAAAGGAGAAATATCTGTAACAAAATAAAAATTAATTAATTAAAGAAAAATCAAAGATGTGATGGTTATAATTGGATTAAGAGGTGCTGATTGGTAGTTACAAAATAGGTGCGGGGATGTAAGGTAAAGCATTGGGAACATAGTCAACAAGGTTGTAGTAACTATCCTTGGCGCCAAGTGGACACTTAATATGGGAGGGAAAACTTTGTAACCTATATGACTTCTATCCACTGTGTGTACACCTGAAACTAATACAATATAGCGTTGAATGCAAACTGTAATAAAAAATAAAATAGTAAGTCCTGCCAAATTTGCTCAGTGGTTAAAGCGTCGGGCCCACCCCGTGGATGGAAAGGTCTCGGTTTTGATTCCTGGTCAAGGGTTGCAGGTTATATTCCTGACCCCAGTCTGGGTTGTGAGGGAGGCAACCAATTGATGTGTCTCTCATATCAATGTCTCTCTCTCCCTTCCACTCTATCTAAAAAATCAATAGAAAAATATCCTTGAGTGAGGATTAACAACAACAACAATAAAACAATAAGATAAAAACTGTGATGGTTAATTTTATGTGATTAACACTTAAATCGGCACTTTTTTTTTTTTTACCTTCCATAATGTGAGTGGGCTTTATCCTTAGGAGCAAACACTGAGGTTTCCCAAAGAAGAAATTCTGCTTCAAACTGCAACTGAATTTCTCACCTGCCATGGTGATCGACGGATTCTAGACTTGTAAATTCCCACAACTGCATGAGCCAATTGCTTAAAATAATACACATGCAAACACACGCACTCCCCATTGGTTCTGTTCTCTTGGGGAACCCTGACTAAAACAAAACCTAACTCCAAGACCCATTGTATGTCAGTGACATCTCATTTGAATGAACGTAGGCATAAAGAATGGCAATTGATCTTTGAGTTCAGGTTTAAGTCCTAATCCTACCTAGCTACTCAATCATACTTGGTTCTTCATTTGTATAAAGAATAAAATAGTAATATTTCTTGAATAGATTGTTATAAAGATGGAATAAGAAAACGCATGCTTAGAACAGTGTCTGGCTCAGAGTTAGCACTTGATAAATGCGAGTAGTTATTATTATTATTAAGGTCACGAGGGAAGCTATCAAAGAAGAATGAGGGGTGTGCAGAAGGGTAGCTAGTCCCGCTCGCTCCTCTGCCCCTTGTCTCCCGCGGTTCTCATGCACAGGCCGTCTCTGCCTCTCAGCACCTGTTCCTGGGACATCACAAAACACTTTCTTGTTAAGTGTGTATGTCTTCCCATAGGAACCCAGTCAAGATTAAAAGTTAGATTCCAAATCAAGGACTAAGTCATAGAAGAAACCATTGTTATGGCACAAAAGCCAAGTTCAATAAATCTTGGTAATCATTTAAAACAGTGAAATTATTCTTTTAACACTTAACATGGAGCCTCTATAAAGTTTAAACCTTTCTCCACAATGCAACTTATTGATTTAATTAGAAGTTTTGTTTGCTTCTCACAGTTTAGAAGGACTTTTATATCAAGAATGATTTGGTTGGGCAAAACCTGTTTTTAAAGCTAGCCAATGATCTCTAGGTGAAGGGATTTTGGTTAATTTATATTTTCTTTTCTTTTTAAAAAAATGTGTGTGTGTCATTAGGTGATTCGCCAGAAGGACCCACAGAGATTATCTACTCACTGAGGTTTATTATAGCAAAGTGTACCTAGCAAAAGCAGTAGGAAAAGATATGCATTAATGGGGTCGGAAGAGGTTCAACCCAG